GGACCCTGTATGTTATGGTACTAAATTAGTTTTAATCGTTTAATCACCACAGCGTCTTGCCTCCATTGGCAACACGCACGATTTGTGTGGATTGCAAGTGACGCCGCAGATAGCGGAGAGTGCAAGTGACAATTGCAAGTGACATTGTAATTTAGTTTATTTTTTCTTGTCTTCACCACCTGGCTACTGTTGTAAAATTTTGAGAGATTCAAACAAAAAGTAATCAATAAATAGAACAAAATAAAAAAGACTGCAAGTGACGTCACTAGCGGAAGTGCAAGTGTCAAAGTGCAAGCCTGAGAATTCACGTCTGAGAGTGCAAGCGCCAAGCTGCAGCCAGACCCTTTTGGTCCCCCCAGCTCAATATACGTTCCCGCGGCTATGCTTCTGTGCCAAGCAAGCACGGAAACGGTACTGTGCTCGAAGCGCATGCTCTTCAATTGCATGCACAAAGGCACCGGCGGCGCGCTGTAGCCTGTATTCTTTCATATCAAAGCGCGAAATAAACTACGTGCATGCAATGCCGTGGTCAGTTAAGTCATGAAGTTACCAAAAAGGCGATTAAAGCTGCCTTAAAACTGTGCATGCATGTAATATATTTTATACGAGTCACATTTAAGAACATGTCTCTGAAATGGTTTTCAAAACTGTCCTGGAGCAGCCCAGCACTGTCTCACTCATCTAACACACCCGATTTAACTCGTCAGCTCGTGTTTATTTTAGCACTTCAGTCAGTGAATACGCAGCCTGCAAAACACTAAAATAAATACCAAAGAAATAATACAGTTAAACAAGAACGTAGCCTAAATAAGAAAGTTAAATACACCCTGTCTACAGGACGCGAGCTGCGCGGCGCTACAAAATACTATAAAACTCATTATAATCAGTGATGCTACACTGGATGCGACACGACATGACAAATCCCCGACAGTAAACTGCCTCGTTCTATTTATGAGGTACTGACACAGAGTTCAAATGTCCTGTGTAGACACTAGACAGACTCAACCTGTTGCGACGCGTGTCGCGTCCGGTGTAGACACGGTTCACTGTTCCGCTACTGTTATTACACTTGTATACAAAACTTCATATTATGCTTGTTATAGAGTGCGTGACGTCACGTGCACTACCACCGGTGGCAGTAGACAACCACGGTGGCAAGCGACCACTGCGGTGACGCGGTTGTCACGGCGACCGTCACAGCCCTAAGACACGCACAGGTTGCGCTCGCTAATCCCGAGTGCTGCCCGCACTGCTCTCAGTTCCCATTAAGGGTTCTAGAGCGACGAGTATGAGTCTCGGCTGCGTGTAAAGGGGACCCGAGTCTTTCTGCGCCTCCCATGGAAATGGCCAAGGTTGCTCCTCAGGTCCGGTGCTGCTGGGGAGAGTTCATGGATGAGATGCACAGATTGCACACTTCCCCAGTCAAGCAACTGATACCAGCCGTTCCAGCATGTGTCACAAAGATGCGGCGCTTCTGGGACAAACCCTTCTCACAGAGGGTACCTGTTAATAAAGGTTTCTCTAGGCTGGATGTTCACAATATGGAAGAGTTGGGGATGTCCAACCCCCCCAGTCCCATCTCACTGCTCACAGCGTACCAAGATGAGCTCATGGAGGAGATGAGGAGGCAGATTGATGCCCGACCCAGCATTGTGGCAAGAGATCTACGTAATTGTTATGATTAATTTTTATATTAATATATATTAAAGGGCATATTCCAGGTTAGAGACCCCAGTGAGTCGATGTATTGAAAAATAATGTAGGAACTAGATTTTCTTTAAAATATACCTTAAAATACACTATTAAGGCTTCTGGAGTCGTTTTTGTGAGAATTTTACTTCCGCATCTGAAAACCGCCAAAACCGGAAGTGACGTTACGAGAGGGAGAGCGGTCCATTTTAACCATAGGAAAACAATGGTTCGCAATGACAGTTCGGACGCTGAGGAATTTTTTTTTTACACTAGTATGACGGACCACAGATACAATTATGAGCCTGCTATGCAGCCAAGAGAGCAGGGACAGGCCAGTATTAGAGTATTAGTATTAGGAGACAAATTGAGTTGTGTGAGGAGAACAGGGCAGGTGTCTTGGTGAGAGACCAGTGTTAGCTTACAGATATACACACGTTAGCTAACGATATGTAATCAGGCAATAGCAAAGCTAGTATTGGTCATCTAGTATTGGAGTATTGATACTTACCAGCAACAGAAACTAATTAGCGTTGATCAGGAGTGTCATGCTCGTTAATATCCGATACTAATGTTACGTGATATAGCGGTTTCTCATCACCGCAGGAGAGAGAGAGAGAGAGATAAACACGTTTTTGTTTCATTATGTGCTTGTGTGGGAAAAGCGAGGCCATGGTCACAGCTGAGGGAAGTCAGTGCTGCAGGGAGTTACATACTGGGCCTTAGTAGAGATGGAGAATGTGACCCCCACATTTGATGTGCAGTGTCTGCACTCAGGCTTTGAGGCTTGCTGTCTGAACGCCATATGTACTACAGATAGGCTATATGCACTTCAGACAGGAGCATGGACCTCTCCAGGCCAGCAGAGATGTATGTTTAGGGCAAAGATAATTTATTACTCTGAGCTAAGTTCTTGTATGTTATTTCGGCAACCGAATAAGCGAAAAGGCCGAATAAATTGTACCGAACAATGATATGACGCGATCAAATAGCAACCAGCGTCGAGTGAGAGTCGCACACTCTTTATTATGCAGCACACATGTCAGCAGTGTGGAAGCATTTAAACTGTTGGAGAAAGACGCAAAAATCATTACAAGCACCGACAGCGAGAGACTGTTTAGGACTGCATCGCATGTCTTCAATGAGAAGAGGAAGGGG